CAAAGCTGTTATGCACAGCCGGCGACCATGGTCATTGTCAGGCGGTTGGTATATATGGCGTTGGCTCGTACAACCATGTGATGCGTTGGCATTGCATGTTGCCGGCCTGACGGCACGCGCTGTTGGTGACATGGCATCGGCCGTCTTTGAGCTGATGTCAATCATGTGTTCTCGCCGGCGGCCACAGTGCTGAAATGTGATGGCTATTGCTGTTTTTTGTTGTTGTTGCTGTTGTTTTTGTTTGTTTGTTTGGTTTTTTTTTTTTTTTGCTTTCTTGGTGTGTTTGTTTGGCTTCTTTCTTGTGTGTCTTCATTGCTTGCAATGCAGTCGTTGGTCTTGTTGTTGGCTCTGGCCATGCTCTGTTCGTGCTGGCTTTTGCGTCGGCCCACACATCTGAGGCGATGCGTCTTGGCTGTGTGCCAGCAGCGGCGCGCACGCAGCATAAGCGCAAAGCCATATTGAACACACATACTGATTATACATGTATTAGAGCATATATTGATTTGTTGACACCGCTGACAGCATAAAATGGGCCGATCCTGGCTGTAGTGCAATGCCAGGCCAACCCGCGGCAGGGCAGGAGCAAGCTCCAGTAACCCCGCCAATGTTCAAAAATCAGTTTAATATTCTGGTCCCCATGTAGGGGACGTATCAGATATTAAGCTGATAAGAACAGATACTACACTTTGATCTTAGCCAAAAGGCCGAGAAGCGATGCAGATGCAATTGCAAAACGTGCATTTGCGTCGTGCCGGCCGCTGCCGGTCTGCAAGGCCGGCGCGCACGCGCCTGGCTCCATGCGCCGGGTCGACGAGAGATTAGCGACCGACGGCGAGCAGTGCTCACCCCGCCGCGCATTGGCACCAGCTCAGATGACACTTTGCAGGGCATCTTGCTGTCACTTGAGTCGTGCGCGCCTTCTCCGTTGGTCGAGACGCGTGCGCGGTTGCGTCGGCACACTGGCGCGTGACCGGAGGTCGCCGACGATTTGCGCCCTTGGAGCGGTGGCCTGTGCGCTGTTCATCACGTCACCCGACTGGCAATCGCCGATCACGTGACCATACACCGTTCACGTGACAGCACACCGTCACTACCAATAGGTGCCCAGCGTCGGCGAGAGGCAGAACGCGCGCTCGCACCGCGTCTGTGAACACGCAACTGACGCCGGCACGCGCGTCGCTACGGTCGAAAACGGCCCGGCGGCCGCTAGTGCCAGCACGGCCGCTAGATGGCTGTCGCGCCGGGCGTCGAAAGAGCAAAGTCGGGTTGGCCGTCGCGGGCCTGGCGCTGGTGGCGCGTCCCCGTGCAGTTGACGAGCTGTGCTGTCGACTTGTTGCAAGCTGTGTGCGGCGTCGCGCCGCGTCACGTGGTAGAGCGCGGCCGCGCTTCGGAGGCGAAGACGCCCATGCAGCCGAGCGATGCCGCCAGGCCGGCGAGGGCGCACGGCCTCCGACTGCCGGACCCGTGCGCTGGAGCAAGGCAGACAGCCGACCATTGGCCGGCCCGCAGGCGATGTGTGAATGCCACGCGCCCGACAGAGCCATCTAGCCGCGGGGCGCGCAAAGCTGTTATGCACAGCCGGCGACCATGGTCATTGTCAGGCGGTTGGTATATATGGCGTTGGCTCGTACAACCATGTGATGCGTTGGCATTGCATGTTGCCGGCCTGACGGCACGCGCTGTTGGTGACATGGCATCGGCCGTCTTTGAGCTGATGTCAATCATGTGTTCTCGCCGGCGGCCACAGTGCTGAAATGTGATGGCTATTGCTGTTTTTTGTTGTTGTTGCTGTTGTTTTTGTTTGTTTGTTTGGTTTTTTTTTTTTTTGCTTTCTTGGTGTGTTTGTTTGGCTTCTTTCTTGTGTGTCTTCATTGCTTGCAATGCAGTCGTTGGTCTTGTTGTTGGCTCTGGCCATGCTCTGTTCGTGCTGGCTTTTGCGTCGGCCCACACATCTGAGGCGATGCGTCTTGGCTGTGTGCCAGCAGCGGCGCGCACGCAGCATAAGCGCAAAGCCATATTGAACACACATACTGATCATACATGTATTAGAGCATATATTGATTTATTGACACCGCTGACAGCATAAAATGGGCCGATCCTGGCTGTAGTGCAATGCCAGGCCAACCCGCGGCAGGGCAGGAGCAAGCTCCAGTAACCCCGCCAATGTTCAAAAATCAGTTTAATATTCTGGTCCCCATGTAGGGGACGTATCAGATATTAAGCTGATAAGAACAGATACTACACTTTGATCTTAGCCAAAAGGCCGAGAAGCGATGCAGATGCAATTGCAAAACGTGCATTTGCGTCGTGCCGGCCGCTGCCGGTCTGCAAGGCCGGCGCGCACGCGCCTGGCTCCATGCGCCGGGTCGACGAGAGATTAGCGACCGACGGCGAGCAGTGCTCACCCCGCCGCGCATTGGCACCAGCTCAGATGACACTTTGCAGGGCATCTTGCTGTCACTTGAGTCGTGCGCGCCTTCTCCGTTGGTCGAGACGCGTGCGCGGTTGCGTCGGCACACTGGCGCGTGACCGGAGGTCGCCGACGATTTGCGCCCTTGGAGCGGTGGCCTGTGCGCTGTTCATCACGTCACCCGACTGGCAATCGCCGATCACGTGACCATACACCGTTCACGTGACAGCACACCGTCACTACCAATAGGTGCCCAGCGTCGGCGAGAGGCAGAACGCGCGCTCGCACCGCGTCTGTGAACACGCAACTGACGCCGGCACGCGCGTCGCTACGGTCGAAAACGGCCCGGCGGCCGCTAGTGCCAGCACGGCCGCTAGATGGCTGTCGCGCCGGGCGTCGAAAGAGCAAAGTCGGGTTGGCCGTCGCGGGCCTGGCGCTGGTGGCGCGTCCCCGTGCAGTTGACGAGCTGTGCTGTCGACTTGTTGCAAGCTGTGTGCGGCGTCGCGCCGCGTCACGTGGTAGAGCGCGGCCGCGCTTCGGAGGCGAAGACGCCCATGCAGCCGAGCGATGCCGCCAGGCCGGCGAGGGCGCACGGCCTCCGACTGCCGGACCCGTGCGCTGGAGCAAGGCAGACAGCCGACCATTGGCCGGCCCGCAGGCGATGTGTGAATGCCACGCGCCCGACAGAGCCATCTAGCCGCGGGG